GGTATCCAGGCTAATCTAAAACTTTAAAAGTAACACAGCATTTTTAATCTAAATGCAGGCTGAATAAACAAAGATCCGCAGAAGGGGCATAGCTTTTCGGGAGGGGGGGGTTAATAGAGCTAAGGGGCACAGACGTTCATCAAGAGAGCCTAATGCAGGCCATAGACGGTTCATTTACCGGCCGATTTTTCGTCCGAAAAACGAAACATCGTTTGTTCTGTAAACCGATGTTGCCACCAATGATTGCGAAAATCGGCTGTTTTTCACAAATTTTCCAGCATGACCGATAAACGAAATGAGGAACCGTGAAAATCGGCCAATGCCATTGCCCCACTAACAGTGCAAAAATCAGCCAATTATTCTTTCGGATGAAAAATCGGCCAATTAACGAACCGTCTATGGCCTGCATAGTTATGCCCATTCTTTCCACCCAGGTGCTGCATTTATAGAAGCAATACTTCAGCTCAGGGATGTGCAATTCCTGGTACCGGGCAAGAGGTTTTTCTCTACATTTAGCCCTGCTGTGGGCAAGCAGCAGGGTTTAGAGCTGACAGTTGGCTCTTTTGTAAAAGAAATCCGAGCGGATAACCTAGCCATAGGATCGATTTTTACAAGCAGCAGAATGGGACATCTCCCCTTCTAGGGCTGTCTCATTGCACCAGGCCACCCAATCAACTTCTGCCGGCTGATCATAAAGGCAGGCAGACCAGGACCGATCTGTTCACCTCTATAATATAGAAAACAGGAAGCGATATAACTTACGGTTTCTCCTATGTAAATGGCGCATTCTTTAAAAATTGAAAGCTTTTGATCACACCGATCTTGTCTGATCAAATGCTTTTAAGGGCAGAGGAGGGATCTGGGCTTCTTATTGAAACCAGATCGCTCAATAAAGAGCACCTGTCACAAGGGATGTTTACATTCTTTGTGATAGCAATAAAAGTGATCAAAAAAGAAGAAAATGAAAACGACAGTGTTAAAATAATACAAAATGTTTAATTTTTTTTAAGCACCCCCGTGCACAAAGGCAAACACTCGTATCGGTCCTGCACACACAGAAAGAATCTGCCCACACGTGATGTTTCCTTGAGGACGTCAAATCATGGGCAGTAATTCTAGTACTCCTCTGTGAATCTATGGTGGTAATCTGCAAAGGCTGTTAAAAGTTGCCTATGGATAGTAAAATTTAGTTTAGTATTGTATTTTTTTAAAAAATTCCGTTTGAAAAAACGCTGCGCAAACACCACGTTACCTTAAAAAAAAAAACCACCAAAAACCCACCAATTTATTATATAGGGCCTCTGCTTTAAAAGAAATATATATGTTTGGGGGTTCTAACAAATCAGTTTAATTTGCCATAAAGCCCCTTTTGTTTTTAAAAGCACCTCTGCCTTATAAAAACATCAACCCTTCTATCAGAGCAAGTAGATTGTCATGAGGGACAAGTAGATTGGATCCCCAATTTAGTCCCTTGGACAAGTAGTTTTTTAAAAAATGTCACACCCTTGCAGCTTCTATGAATGAAAAACGCTATATAAAGAGAGGGAGTGGAACTATAAGTCATCCACCTGTCCTCCATTAATAGCTGGGTGGAAAAGGTGGGCATACCTGTGCATTCATGATGAGCATGTGAGAGACTGCTATTTTTTTTTCCAAAACAAAGAGTTTCATACGTACTGGTTCCTTACCTCTTCTTTAGCAGTCCTCATCCCCCCCCTCCTTTTTTTCAAGTGTCACCATAGCAAGCTGTGTGCTATTGATGCACCCTCCTGAGCCAGCTGTGTGTGTCTATAGATGCGCACAGTGAGGCTTGGGCCAAGCCCCCCTGCTCCATCCTTTGTTTAAACCTTAAAACAGGTAATGCGTTAAGGTGTAAAGAAACCTTTTGATTTTAGAACCACGTTAATGGCATTCTCCCAAGGAGGACATGCACTGTTTTCTTTTGATTCCCTGCTGCAAAATTCAAAAAACAATACTTCAGGCTTGAAGGAGCACATGATTCGCTCCCCTTCATCTCATGTGAAAGATCTGGTGCTGGCTGATCACTCTTATATAAGGACAGTCTTTGAAACTGTTTATACTCCTATAAAAAAACATGGAGCTTACACAGAACTTCCTTCACTTGTTCCAGGGGACTGAACAGAGCAGAAAGGGTAACGAATGGAAAATCAAATATGTATTGCTAGGCAGGAGGACATTTAAGCAAACTTGTTGCTTTGCCTTTGCAGGACAGAGCACGGGCTTGTTTTAGGATAGCTTTTAAATCTGTGTTGTGAATGTAGTCAGTCAGAAGCCCTGATATCTTTGGCAACACAATTTCTGTGTCAGCTCATTCACTGCCTATTTATTTTCAAGATTATCTGTTGTCAACTTCATAATTGCCAAATTTGAAAAGATCATAAATGGCTAATATATTTTTTGTAAATACGTAAATTTAGCTCTGGACCATTAGCACTGGGTCTTCATGTTTCAGATCATCCAGTCTGTTTTCTTCTGGTGTCTTTATTTAGTGGCTCCTAAAGCAGCAACTTAGCCCACCAATGATATCCACTTGAGCTCTGGAAGGTTTTACCCCCTTCATGACAAGGCCATTTTTGCTATTCGACAGTGCGCTACTTTAGCTGGCAATTGCACGGTCATGCAACACTATACTTATATCTTTTTTTTCATACAAATAGAGCTTTCTTTTGGTATTTAATCACCACTATTTTTGTTTTTTTGTATAAATGAAAAAAAACACCAACATTTTGGAAAAAAAAATATTTTTTTCCTTATAAACCAATCCAATTAAAAAAAAAATTCCAATAAGTGTATATTGATTGGTTTGTGTGAAAGTTATGAACAGTCATTTTCACAATTCAAACTATATCCGGCTTTTTATAGAAATTTATAAATCATAATCTACAGTCAGCCTAATCTCAGATAAATAATTCAATGCTTCAGCAAATGTGGCAACAGGCAGTTGCTAGATTATCCAATAAAATTCTAAGACATTTTGTAAATCAGGAAAAAAGGGGAAAGGATGTAATCCATAAGCAGGGGCAGACTGACCATTTGGAAACTCAGGCACTGCCCGAGGGCCCGGGGTCAGTAGGGGACCCCATGAGATGCCCCTGGTACCTTTTTCATAGGCTTTTTTGAGTTTGGGCAAGGACACAAGGGCCCCATGATTCCCTATTGCCCGGGGGCCCCATGAGTTGTCAGTCTGCCCCTGTCCACAAGCTTGGTAAAAAGGATATTTAGCCTGAATAAGTTGTTGTCAAAGCAGACTCTTTATATGTAGCACCTGTATTTAGGTAATATGCTATTGCAGCATCCAAAATTGTAGATGTGTGGGTCATGGAAAGCAGCATCTCCTTTTATGATGTCAATGGCTGTTTGTACAGGTTAAGATCTTCGTGTTGTCCTTCAGAAAGGCAGGGTACTATCCAGTCAAAACAGTCAAACAAAAATGTTGTCACCAGAGTACTAGATATTCAGCACAAGTCCAATAGATCAAACCCCATGCTATTCAGAGCATATGTTGTCCACTAGGTTTAAAGTGGTTCTAAAGGCATAATATATTTTTTTTTACCTTAATGCATTCCCTGTATTAAGGTAAAAATGTTCAAGTGGAAGTATCACCCCCTGTTATACATGCCTGACTTCTGTCTCGATCCAGCTCTGTGCCCATCTGCAGCGGCACTGGTCTCAGAATAGAGAGGCAGCAGTGGGAGCCATTAGCTCCTGCTGCTGTCAGTCAAATCCTGTGAACAGAGAGTGGGGGTGGGACAGAGCCATGCCGTATGTCTATAGATGCACACAGTCCGGCTTGGGAGCAAGCCCCCAGGTGTGCCCCTACAGGAAATGGCTTTTCCTATGTTGGCGCACTGAGAAGAAAGAGACTGGAGTGCCAGCGGGGAACCCCAGAAGAGGAGGTTTGGGGCCAATCTGTGAAATGTCATTGCATAGAACAGGTAAGTATAATATGTTTATTATTAAAAAAACAAAACAAAAAAAGAGCCTTTACAAATGCTTTACATTAGTTGCTTCAGCATTTAATGGACATATTGGGGTTGATTTACTAAATGCAGATAGGCTGTACACTTTCAAGGGGATTTTCACTTTGCAAAGGAGTTTTCCCTTAGCTTAATGAATGTGGTAAAAATTCACATTGTAAAGCACACCCAAGTAAAATGAAAAAACATATATTTGCTTGCACTTGGTTGGTGCACGCAATGTGCAGAGCTTCACCCCATTCATTAGGCCAAGGAGAAATTCCCTTAAAAATGGACTTCTTATTTGATTTAATTAAAACCCCATTATTTCCAGTAGCAATGTAAACTTGCAATTATAAGATGTCCAGTACAGTCAGTCAGCTTTAACCAGCTTAATTGCAGACAGCGTCCATGTCTACAAATTATCTTGGATCACAGGCATCATTTTGCAGAAACAAGTAGGGTAACACATTATTAGGTACACCATCGATTACCAGTACCGGAAAGCAGATATGGCCAGGATGAAAGTCTTCAACAATTGTTGATTAGTGTTGGCAAAAAACGAGTCCAGGAAATAATTCAACTTGGGAGTTGATGGTGTGGCAGACAGCCCCTTTGTACCTGACTTGTCCCCTCAAGAGTGACTTTGTGGAGAAGCATTATTGGCCAAATGTGGTCTTAGTGATTTTGAAGTGACTTATAGGATTTTATTGAGATGCTGTTTTGAGAACAGCGTTAACATTTGTGCTATGCCAGCAAAGAAATAAAGAGTCCCAGCTGTGAGCATGGAGCAGTTCTTTGCAGTCTGTGTATTAAAGGCCTCCTACATCTTATATTGCTAGGAAGACTAGTGTAAACTCATGAGAGTAGAAGTAATCATGTTGTAGCTTTCTTAGTTTGAAAAGGCCTAAATAAAATGTGGCTAATTTGGAGTTGTGTGCTCAGAACTCAGAAGGTTCTGTGTCTTTTTAATTAGCTGAAATGACCATACGCAGATTGTAACTCAATTATCAATTTATTATCAGATGCAGAAAGACTTGAAGGAACAGACCCAGCCCGCAAACCTGGGAGAATTCAGGCCTCTCCTCTCCAATCACAGGCAGGAGACTCCAGTGAGGAACTCCCCACGGTAAGAACTTTACTGAGTTTTGGCTTCTGCGATTTATAGGCTTGTGAGTTTTATTAAAGAACTTTCATTATTATCCACAGTTGGATGCTGTGGGCTGGAAGAGGAGCCAGCGACTGCATACCAACCTAGAGGAGGCAAATCTTACAGATACTCCCCTGCCCTGGGATAAGAAGGTCAGTAAATCCAAACCTGAAATAGAATGTATAGAAACAATTATAACACACACAGTGTAAAGAAACAGCAGTTTCCATGCTTTACATCCTATACCATATGGTAAGTTCATGTTAATAATACAACTACACAAATCTCTACTGTTTTGTAAATGATCACAAATTGTATATTGTAGCCAAAGACAGAAACTGCATAGTTTTCAGCTTGTGCTAGTTTAATAAGTGTGTTCCTCACTGTGTAAACTACTGTACAAGTATATAAAGTGAATGTGCCCTAACAGGCATACCAAATAAGGCAGAATAAAGAGCAGTGATCTATGGCAACTAATCAGGAATGCTTTCCAAGAAAGCTAATCTAGACAAGTGAAACCAATCAGTTAACTATTAATGCATGGCAACAAACACTGCAGTGGTTCAAAATTCAACACATTTCTTGTGTTTTTGTACATATGTTACCTTCCTTTTTTTCCCAATCAATTTCCTAATTAAAAAAAGCCTTTGGAATACAGAGTAAAATAGTAAATAAATATAATATCAATAAAGTGTTTTAAATAATCATTCAAATATATATTTGAAATCAAATCTTTATTATTGTTTTGGCAATAACATGGTGAGGGCAGATTTCTGCCAGCAGCAGGCTGTGTCACACCCCTCCAGCCTGTGTTTTAGAATGACAGGGTGTGAAGCCTCCATCAGTCAAGATGTAATGTCACACCCCATTATGTTTAGCTGCTTAGTGGGCATGGAGGTGGGGGGAGGGAGTGGGCTGACATTTACCACTGTGTATACGCCCACATGGGCTGTACAGATGTAATAGGGAGGAAATACTCAGCATAGAAACTCACTGAAAACTGAGCATGTACCGTAGCTGTCAACACTGCTCTACAAAATCCTGAGCTGCTTTGGGGACATGAATAGAAGGGAGAGAGAGAACAGCGGGGCTAACTAGATTTTTTGAAGAATACAGAAAACAAATCCCATAGTGACTGAGTGAGAAAGAACAGCATGTAATACAGCATTTTGTTAATAGCTATATATAATGTGGGCTTAGTGACACTTTACAGCCATTCTTTTGGGGTCTGAAACACTGCATGTTTAAGGGGTACTTCCCCTCTTCAGCCCCTTTACCAATGGGTAAGCAAAGGGGGTTATAGTTACAGTAGATGGAGTGGTGCATGGCAGCTGTCCCTAAATGATAAGTTGTATTCTATGAGTGCGCCTCAAATCTTGAGTTACAACTGGAACATACAGTTTACTGGATTTCGGTACTGTAAACAGGAAACTGGCTGCTATAAAACCTCTTCTCTTTGCACTGCTTTATTGAATCTAGCTATACAAGCATGACCACAGATATTAATAAACAATAATCCCTTGATGTTAAAGAGGATTAATTCTGTGTTCATGCCTAGTGATGGTAATCCATATAATGCTGATTGATGTGTTGTATTTTGTACAACTTCATGTTTATTACTCCTACTCATTAATCCTCCTTTTTTTTTTCTACACATTTAATTGTAATTTTTACTGCTTTTCTTTGGACCTTGAATTTTTTTTTTGGTCTAAAACCTTCACTATCTCCTTTTTTTAATTTTTTCGAAATTCTTGCTGTAATTTCTTTGGTGATGGTAATCAGTTTATTTACATTAGTAGTGTGTGGGCCTTAAGCCTAGGCAAGTAAATTCATGCTGCTTTAGAATGGTGGCTATGTTCTGAAAAGCATAATGCCCTTTGTTGGACCGCCATCTTACTCTTTGAGATCCTACTCAGTTTTTGTACATGGAAATTAAACTATGTGCTTTGTAGAGAACCATGGGGATGAATCATTCTTCCGTGAAGTTTATATTTGGTACCCTACAGCAATGTTTTTTAACTTTTTTTCTGTCAAGGTTCCCCCCCCCCCCTAAAATTCTTCACAATCTTGAGGCATCCCATCCTAAAATGTTAAAGCCTAAACTAATAGTTTTACAGAATGCAGCAACATCCACAAGCATAAGTCACCCAATATTTGAGGTGATTTATTCTTCCAAAACAAATACACCTTTGCACACTGGTACGGACTAGTATTCCAATGTTTCTCCCCCTCATTCAGCCGATGTGATCCCAGTGCTGATGGAGAGGAGCAGGGGAGAGGCAAACAAGGATGCTGTGCAGGCACCTGACATCCTCCTTTTCAAATGATGTCATTGATTGTTATGATGTCAGTGGCTGGATGGTTGTAATAGTGCACAATGAAAACCTGTGGCTTTGTGTTGCTAAAATGCAGAATTGAATACAATTTTTGGGCAACTTTTAGGTATTTTGCCAAGGCACCCCTGAAGACCTAGTGCTCATGAAACACTGCTTCTATGTTAGTAAAAAACTACACGCTTTATCTTATATGTTACATAGATTTCCAAAAATACCAATGCAACAGAACTTTCACTATTCCTCCAAGACTGCAATCTCTGATTTTAATGATTGTGTAATCTGCAGCCTCTTATTCTAGGACATACAGTTCCCTGTATGCAGTGCCTATTAGTGACTGAAGTTGGTGTATACGACTCCTTACTTTTCTAAATAATTAAAGGCTTATGTATATAGATTGGAATGGCTAAGATATGCATAATTTGCACAGCCGTTTGCCTGCATGTTTTTAGACGGATGACACTAGGAACTACAGTATGTGGACTGTATGTTTGTAGACACGGTACATTGAGTGAAAATTAGAGGCATGATATGGTTAGTGTGTACACCGTCTGTCAGTTTAAAAATATAAATGGTACTGAACCTTCTTACATTCCCTTTTTGTGTTTTTTTTTTGTTTCTCCTCTTCCCCTTGCAGTATAAAGGCAAAGTCAACCTCCATGTATTTGAGGACTGGTGTGGTGGGTCTGTTTTGCACTTCAAAACAAACCTGCATTTCCCCCTGTATCCTCATGTAAGTTTTTATTATTTTTTACTTTTTATCATTATTTACTTCTTTCCAGTGCCTTATCCTGTGATAATGTGATGTTCTACCTTTCTACAGATGCGCACCACTGTTACCAAACTGGCTGTTTCGCCCAAATGGAAGAACTATGGACTCAGAATATTTGGGTATCTACACCCCTACAAAGATGGTGAGCATGCCCACTGAAATGTTACACTGTAAACTCTTGAAAATGCCTTCCCTTAATCTTGTTGCAAAGCTGTCTTTAAAGTAGAATTCTGGTCTTTACCAAACTAGTCTTAAAAATGCTCTCTCACCCTCCTAACACCTTATCAGTCTAACCTGTGTAAGAAAGTTCTATATACTCACATTTTTTTTTAGATCGCTCCAATCCAGTCACGTGATCTCCCCTGTGTCGAGTGCAGGGGAAAGTAGAGTGCTTGCCAACAGCTGGTTATGCCTGGAGCAGTGATGTCACCCGTAGACTCCTATGACCCATATGGCACTCCCTCCTCTCCCCTGCAGCAGCTGCTGGCTGACACAGGGGAGCTGAATCATGTGACCAGAGTAGGGTGAAAATAGGTAACTATATATTTCTATCTTACATAGCTTAGTGTTTTTAAGACTAGTTGGGTAAAGCCCAGGATTCTACTTTCAGAAATAAATTACAGTGGTCAAGACTCAACTGAAAGGCAATCTTGATGGTTTATAATTGTTTTCCTAGGATGTTGGCAAAATATTGTGCAGCAATAAAATTCATACCTGTCCAGCCAGATTTTGACTCTTCTCAACACCTATAGTTTTATATAGAAAAGAATCCCCCCCTTTAAAAATAAACACATTTTGTTGCTTTGCAGCCTGAAATGAAGACACACAGTTTTTGTTTTATCCATCTAAGCAAAAGATATAACACCAAACACCAAATAGAAGAAATTAAAAAACAGAATCACGGAGTTGGAAAAAGGTTCAACCCCTCCTAAAAACGACATGTAAACTCAATTGGGTGTAGCTAATCACCTTCTCAGTTACACACAAAGCCATTTGACTTTCAACTATGATCAGCTGTGGTGATTTTTGATTAGCTCAGCATGTAAAGAGCTTTCCTGTAGTATTTCAGTTGCTGATAGTGCAACTGCAGAAAACAATCAACTATGGGTGGCAAGGCACTGGGGTAGTTATGGACAGGCAAAAGTCAGGAGATGGATACAAAAAATTTCAAAGGCTTTATCAATGCCTAGAAGCACAGTAAAGTCTATTTTTAAGAAGTGGAAGATATTTGATACAAAACAGACCCTCCCTGGATCAGGATATTGCTCCAAACTGGATGAAAGAGCCAGGATGAAACTGGTCAGAGAGGCTACCAAAAGGCCTACAGCAACTCTGAAGCAGTTGCAGGAATTTATGACACAGTGGTCATCGTGTGCATGTGATGAACAATATCACAAATTCTCCAAAAATGTGGCTTGTATGAGACAGTTGCAAGAAAAAAAGCCATTCTCAAGAAAGGCCACATGCTGTCATGGCTGAGCATTGCTGAAACGCTCCTTAAAGATTCTGAGGCCACATGAAAAAAGGTGTTATGGTCAGATGAGTCTAAAATTTTATGATCTGGCCTCAACACTAAACGATATGTCTGGCGGAAATCAAATACCGTATTTGCCGGCGTATAAGACGACTTTTTACCCCTTGAAAATCTTCTCAAAAGTCGGGGGTCGTCTTATACGCCGGTATACGGCATACTGACACTTTTTAGGCGTTGCCGCCGCCCGCCCCCCCCCCCTTCCCCCAATGGAAGGGACACTAAGTACAGGGGTGGGCAGCGGCTGTTTCTTACCTGGTTCCGGTCCCCACGACGATCCGGTCCAGGAAGCGCGGCTGCGCCTTCAGTTCGGCCACTGGATGTTCGTGCGGCTGCTCAGGAAAGGCACACAGGCGGCCAATCACCGGCGAGGGGGTGGAGCCGAGCGGCCCACGAAAATCGAGTGCAGGACCAGCAGGTAAGTGGTCAGTGTAGAGGTGCTGCTGCAACCACATATGCTGGCTGCAGCAGCACCATACGAGAACAGAGGTCAGGAAGTGTCAGTGGGAGGAATAGTGCCCCATCATTGGTGTCACTGATACCAATGATGGAGCACTATTCCTCCCACACTGATACCAATGATGGGGCACTATTCCTCCCACTGACACCAACGATGGGGCACTATTCCTCCCACTGACACCAACGATGGGGCACTATTCCTCCCCCCCACTGACACCAACGATGGGGCACTATTCCTCCCCCCCACTGACACCAACGATGGGGCACTATTCCTCCCCCCCCACTGACATCAACGATGGGGCACTATTCCCCCCCCCCCCCACTGACACCAATGATGGGGCACTATTCCACCCCCCACTGACACCAATGATGGGACACCATTCCTCCCACTGACACCAATGTTGGGACACCATTCCTCCCACTGACACCAATGATGGGGCACTATTCCCCCACTGATACCAATGATGGGGCACTATTCCCCCCACTGATACTAATTATGGGGCACTATTCCTTCCACTGATACCAATGATGGGGCACTATTCCCCCCACTGATACTAATGATGGGGCACTATTCCTCCCACTGACACCAATGATGGGGCACTATTCCTCCCACTGATACTAATGATGGGGCACTATTCCTCCCACTGATACCAATGATGGGGCACTATTCCTCCCACTGACACCAATGATGGGGCACTATTCCTCCCACTGATACTAATGATGGGGCACTATTCCTCCCACTGATACCAATGATGGGGCACTATTCCTCCCACTGATACTAATGATGGGGCACTATTCCTGCCACTAATGCCAATGATGGGGCACTATTCCTGCCACTGATACCAATGATGGGGCACTATTCCTCCCACTGATACCAATGATGGGGCACTATTCCTGCCACTGATACCAATGATGGGGCACTATTCCTGCCACTGATACCAATGATGGGGCACTATTCCTGCCACTGGTGTGCATTGGAAGAGGGGTAGTCTTATACGGCGAGTATAGCTCAAACACTAAATTTTAGCAGGAAAAGTAGGGGGGTCGTCTTATACGCCCAGTCGTCTTATACGCCGGCAAATACGGTACATCTCACCATCCAATAATAATACCATTCCTACAGTAAAGCACGGAGGTGGTAATATCCTGTTATGGGGGTGTTTCTCTGTAGCAGGGACTGGAGCACTTGTCAGGATAGAAGGAAAAATGGATGGGGCAAAGTACCGTCAAATTCTTGAGCAAAATCTGCTGCCCTCTGCCAGAAAGTTGTCAGTGGGAAGAAAGTTTACCATCCAACATGGCAATGACCCAAAGCACACAGCAAAAATGACCACACAGTGGGGTTTGATTACTAAAGCTGGTTCACTCAGAATCTCATGCACTCCTGCATAGAAAACAATCAGCTTCCAGGTTTTATTGCTAAAGCTTAATTGAACAAGCTGAGGTTAGAAGCTGATTGGCTACCATGCACAACTGAATGAGATTCTGAGTGAACCAGCTTTAGTAAATTAACCCTACTAGTTGAGGGAGAAAATGGTGAACGTCCTTGCATAACCTAGTCATAGCCCAGACTTATGCAGGCCATAGATGGGGAGAAAAACTGCAGATTTTTCTTTTAAAAAACGAAAAATCGGTTGTTCAAGTGGCCGACGTTACCATCAATGGTAAAAAAAATCGGCCGATTTTCTACCCGTCTAGAGCCGGCAAAAAGTGTCCCTGCAGAGAGCTCTGCTATTTCTTTGACAGTTCTCTGACAGTTCCTTGACATTTATAGAAGTTGCAACAATGTATCTATTTGTTTCCATTTAGGATACAGATGTTTTTATTCGGAAACAAATAGATACAATGTTTCAACCGCTGTAAATGTCAAGGAACTGTCAGAGAACTGTCAGAAATAGCGGAGCTCTCTGCAGAGACACTTTTTGCTGGACTGGAATTCTTCTTATTTTCATCCTACTTCTTCATCCTCATCCTCTTCTTCTTCTTCTTCTTCATCCTCATCCTCTTCTTCTTCATCATCCTCTTCTTCTTCTTCTTCATCCTCATCCTCTTCTTCATCCTCATCCTCTTCTTCTTCTTCTTCTTCTTCATCCTTATCTTCTTCATCCTCATCCTCTTCTTCTTCATCATCATCCTCTTCTTCTTCTTCTTCATCATCATCCTCATCCTCTTCTTCTTCTGCATCCTCATCCTATTCTTCTTCTTCTTCATCATCATCCTCATCCTCTTCTTCATCCTCATCCTCCTCCTCCTCCTCTTCTTCTTCTTCTTCTTCTTCATCATCCTCTTCTTCATCCTCATCCTCTTCTTCTTCATCATCATCCTCATCCTCTTCTTCTTCTTCTTCATCCTCATCCTCTTCTTCATCTTCTTCTTCATCCTCATCCTCTTCTTCTTCATCATCCTCATCCTCTTCTTCTTCTGCATCCTCATCCTATTCTTCTTCATCATCATCATCATCATCCTCTTCTTCTTCATCATCATCATCCTCTTCTTCTTCATCCTCATCCTCCTCTTCTTCTTCTTCTTCATCCTCATCCTCTTCTTCTTCTTCTTCTTCTTCATCATCCTCTTCTTCATCTTCTTCTTCATCCTCATCCTCTTCTTCCTCATCCTTTTCTTCTTCATCATCCTCATCCTCTTCTTCATCTTCATCCTCATCCTCTTCTTCTTCATCATCTTCTTCTTCTTCTTCGTCCTCATCCTCTTCTTCTTCTTCATCCTCATCCTCTTCTTCTTCATCCTCTTCTTCATCGTCTTCCTCTTCTTCTTTTTTTCTTTTTTGTCTTCCTCTTGCAGGTCACTGCTCATGCGCAGATTTTTTATCGGTAAAAAATCGGCCGATTTGCCCACTAATTGCCGCGAAAATCGGCCGATCGGCAAAATCGGCCGATTTTTTTCCAACTTTACCGAAAAAAAAAAAAAAAAAAAAAAACGGCCAAAATACCGAAAAACGGCCGACCAAATCGCCCACTAACGATCCGAAAATCGGCCGATTTTATTTTCGGCCGAAAAATCGGCCGATTTTCGACCCATCTATGGCCTGCATTAAACCCCATTGAAAATCTGTGGAATGACTTGAAGACTGCAGTTCACAGTCACCATCAGACTAAAGGCTGTAATAAAGCAAAAGGTGGTTTAACAAAATACTGACACAAGGGGGTGTTCCTTTTTCCAACTTGTTGATTCTGTCTTTTTATTTTTATTTTTTGACATGTTGGTGTTCTCGTTCACTTGGATGTTATACGTTGCACTGAGCAGTCGTTTTACCTTTATATAAGTGATCACTCCAGGCCAGTGAAGGAAAAGATTTTTCAGACTGGGTTCTGGTTGTAGATGACCCATTTTCTTTCTCTCCCATTATCTTACTTTTTTCTGTACAAAAAAGTCCCTTTTAATTTTTTTTTCAGATGTGGCACAAAAACTTTTACTAGGGATATAGGGAACACACGTATGGAATCATGGATTAGTAAATGGGCTGTAATAGCAATGATCTCTAGCAACCTCTTGTAATACGTCTCCAGTCTATTATTCTTCAGTTTCTCCAACAACTTATGTATCTTGTTTGTAGTGTTCGACCATCGCGATAGCTGGAGTACCAGACCATCAGGCTCTGGCTAATGTTTGGGAGCTGGGAAGATAAGCCAGAAGTTTAAATTGGACAAGGATACAGTCAGGTGGTTCAATTCAGTAGAGCATCAGAAGGCCCTATTCACACAGCAGTTTAGCTGCAGATAGTTTATTGAATTAATTCTTGCTGTGGCTGCATACATTCATGCATTTTTTTTCAATATTTCTACTCTTTAAATTGCTTTAGTGAATTTAAGTCTTTGTCAGTCCGCAAGCAAGAGTAAAGGCCAAGTCACGCTATATGCGGCAACAAATGTTTTATTGCATGATAAAATGTCTTTCACCGCAGGGACACACTGGAAATAATTGTTTCCTATGTGTCCCATTCAAATTGAAATGTAGCCTAGCGCTGCACTAAAATGCAGACATGCTGAATTTTTATCACTGCATACTGGCCCTAATCACACTGCATTGGGCTGCATAACATTGCAGTGAATGAAGTGTACACACATCAAATAAAGCTTCTACAAAAAAAAAAGAAAGGGAGCCATGTGATGCGCTGAATCATGCAACGCACTGCCCCCTAGCGCAGCTGGCAATGGAGAGCTGTCGCAGTTGCAGAGCCCTGCGGAACCTCTCTAAATATCTAAATCACCAAGGACTAGACCTACAAAAGGATTATATTGGTCACTATTTGGAGTTAAAAGTCCTAATCTTAGATGATACAGCACTTTCTCATACTTATGTTGTAGTACTCCTCTTTTGAGTATTCTGTATCCAAACCTTTGGTATAGGCATGCACTGTTGAGGATATCACATTCCCTGCCCAATAGGGGGATTTGTGGACAGATAGTAATCCTTGAAATAGTCCAGGATATCTTTTGCACTGTCTGTGATCCCCCTCATCCATTTAAAATGATATTTTTCTTGTGTTTTCTGAAATTTTAATCAATGGTTTCATTGAAGAATCTAAAAACACAATAAATCGCCTTATGTTTTAGAGAATAGAACATTACTTGGTTTATCTAGATCGAAATGCTGGATTTGCCCAAAACTGAAGCAAGCCTTTAAAGCAGAACTACACTATATCTGAGCACCACAAACAAAAAGCGCTATTGTAAAACAGACTCTAGCATTTCTGGTCATGGCAGCTTGAGTAAGGGCCGGTGACTCCATGTAGCACTTACTTACTGGAATACATCTGCCCTTAGCGCAGGCATGCAGGCGGAAGGTGTGCTTAGCTGAGAAAACTCTTGGGATGTATGACATAATTTGCCTAGGCATGGAAACCAGGAAGTAATGAAATGAAAAAAAAATCAGTTTAAAACATGAGAAGATAATATACTTTTCTATCTATTTTATGAATACTAGCAGTATAAGGATTCAAAATAGTCAACAATGTTGATTGAGAGAACGAAGTTCTACTTTTAAGTAAATGCCAACATGCTGACTTGTACAGTCACATCCCTTATCCCTACCGGTTCATCTTCTATAGTGTACAATAGAAAGGGGGCAACTGTTCATAACAGACATGAGGCATGGCAGGTAGAAGCACAATAAAATAGTCCTCCCCCCATCATAAAATATGCTAGTGTGTAATTCAGCTTGCCATTATTTACTAAAAATACATATTCCAGTTTTATGAAGACTGATCCTGCTGAAGATCCAGAATTGTGAGTTGCTACTAGAGCAGGAATAGAGGAAAATCTTTCAATGGAGATGGCTGTTTTGGTTATGCATGCACAAGAGGGGACTTTTATTTTTTTTAACAGATTTCTTCTCATTTCCTGATTTGACTGAAAACAAAATGAATGCAAATCTCACTGGCTCCCATGACGCACAGATGGCACAAAATAACCACTGCAGCTGTAATTTTCAAACTATGGCAAAATATAATGCACTTTTTTTTAAAATAAAGATCCTTGCTCTGTTTTTTTTTAGATTTGTGAATTCAGCTAAAATATTTTTTTTTATCACTTAAAATTTTATTGATTTCAACAAAGAAGTGATACAGAGTAATACAAATATTTAGAAATGCTGTAAATACATTTCTGAAGACATGGCATACAGGTAACAATATAATAGTGTATACAGGATGCACATCAGTAAGGATTGCTGTGTATCTTGACCCGGGTATCAACCAGCGAATAGATCACTATTTTTGCCAGCTTCAGGAATCCCTCTTAACTTAATGATGTTGCAGCGAGAGCGGTCCTCCAAGTCCGCAACTTTGAGTTGGAGTTTACGGATCGCCTCTGCCTGCTCATCATATGCGTCTGCGAGGTCATCATGTGCTTTTGCAGCCAGATTAAGCTGAGATTCTAGGTGTTCCGTGTGCTCTTCAATGTTATCTAGCCTGTTAGATAATCAGAAAATAGAGGAGCGCAACTCATGTTGAAAGCCAGCCCGGAGAGTAAGAAGCATAGCCTTAAGAGTGTTTTCTGAAGCAGGTGCATCTGAGGTGGTGAAGGCAGCAAGTGATTCAGTGCTCTGTTCAGCCAAAAGGATTATGACTATGTGCTGTGGCAGTCTATCAGTCCCATGTAGTTTTTTGGCAGATGGAGGTTTAAAAGGCGAATGTGCAGGGGATATCACTGCTCTCTTACCTCTGTCAGCCTGCAGGGAAGGAACGGAGATTTGAGCTTCCTCCTCCATGTCAGAGAGTGCCTGCTGTATGTAGTGGAGCGGGAGGGTCGCCGTTCCCGTCGGTGGCTCTGTCTGGGAAGTAATCCATCAGTCGGCAGGATCCCTATGCTCCTTTTATCTTGCGGGACATAATCCGCTGTGTGCCCCATGACTGTGCCTCCCTCATGGAGGTGAAAGTGAAAAACCGCAATGTTGTGAGCTGCTGTGTATGCCCTGGTCAGTGCAAAGGTGCAGAGCTAGGCAGCCATTCCTCTCAGCAGCCAGGACAAGCCCCAGCTAAAATATATTTAATTGACAGATTCTAGACAGATGACCCCAGCCCAGTGGGCAGTGGCTCAGCAGGGCATAAATGAGATGTAAAAGCAGTTTACTATGAATATTAATAGTGCCCACACACATGCCGGTACATGTTGTAGACAGAGACGGCCAGTATTTGTAGAAGGGGGTCAGCTTATTTCAGTACAGGTTTCATTTAGAAGCATCTAGAGAGTCCACAGTTAAGGACATGCAAAACAAAGGTCCAACTGCCCATGGGACTTTTATCACGTGTATCATCAACAGCAGGATAAAATGAAAAAGACTTTTAATAACAACCAAAAAATGAAAAATCTTGTAACAAATGAAAGACATTTTTTTACTTAAAAAATGAGAAGCTGGTTTGTCTGTTGTTAATATGCTCTACATACAAAGTAATGTTCTAACAAATGTGTAATTGTATAAATATCCCATTTCCTTGCTTATAAAACCATTTCATTCCAGTAGATATATGTAGAGGCACATCACAAATCTCAACACGTTTCATAAATATAACATTGTTAGGAGTGAATGCTACTGACAGGGCATCTATGAAGTAGAAACATAAAATTAAATGATTGGATATTAATGAAATTGCATATGTGCTTGCCAGGAGGGTGATGTCAATCCATGATGGCGACTCTGAAAGACAAATCATTAACACATTGAATCTGTTAAAAAAACACACACATACAAATCAGCTTCAAATTTAAACCTTAGTGCTACAGGGTGGAAACCACCAAGGACGTCAGATTAAGGACATTACTATACACAGTGTGTGGGTGAGAACACATATATACAACTCCCTCTTGGACTGTAGAAGAGTGAAGCGAAATCTGCCTTTAAAGTAGAACTAAACCCTCCTTTCCTTTACAGCCAAAGAAGCTGCCAGGGGTTTTAACTACAGTATATGGCTATTATCATCAAAAGTCGGCTTTGTTTTTAAGGATCCTGGCAGTAGTGAGTTAAAATAATTAAAATGATCACTGCTCAGCTCAGTGGGCAGTGGTTCAGTGAGGCAAACCATATACTCTGTTCTGTTGGGGTGTGAAGGCAGAGCATGTCTTTTGAGAAATCTTCAGGATACAAACACGCCATGGGCATGGGTACAAGTGTGTGGACAGTATTAGAGGTGGGAGCCCTCTGAAAATGCTTGCATTGTGGCCATCTTGTAGGCATTAGGCTCTATAAAGAAGCTTTAGCAGGCAGGGGTCAAGGACTAAGCAGCCTGTGTGTGTAAAATTCATCTATTTCCTCTGTTAAAAAAAAAAAAAAATGAATTCCTTGCCATCGGAGCTCATAAGGATATTTTGAAGAATTTGGAAAATAAAATAGCTATCGAGCTTTATCCAAAATTTTAATTGATTTGGGATCTGATATCACTAGCTATATGCTTGGTTAGGTTCACAGACTTGACATGTATTCAACACCAGGGACAGCCAGGCAATTAGCATTTTCTGATGGAGGTCTGAAATAGCAGCACACCTGTTTCTCATGACTGGTGTCCCCTAATATTTTATATTTTATTTTATTTATTTTTGTTTTATTTCATACTTTTTTTTTTTTGTTTAACAAAAAGGACAGTTACCAAACCAGATTTTACCAATTATAAAATAAACTTACTTTAGATTAGATGTCTAAATCGCAGGCAAAACAGCAAATAGTAAATGAAAATGCAAGATTACACATACAATTGAAGGCACAAGAAAACACAAAAAATGGTAATGTATCAGAAAGCAACACAAGTGTGGGGTGGGTGCTTCTGGGATGGGAGTCTGTCCTAGCTCTGTCTTCTCTGCTGCAGGATTGGGCTGTCCCTCAACTTGCACTTTGATTTCCCCAGTGGTATTTGGTAGAGGGGCATGGTCTATGAGCAGTGGGGATATACAGACTGCTGTGTGCATGAAGCTGATATCTGATTATGTCCATTACCAGGTGCCTGTCTTGCATGTCAGGGAGCAGGCAGATGATGTGGCACAAATAATTGTAAGGCGTTGTAGGGAGCAATATGGAAGCATGGACTGGTAAATAAACTTGTAAGAGCAGGGATCTCTAGCAGTCTCATGTAATGTTGCTCTTCTATAACTCTTTGGTCTTCAACAACTCCTATAGCATGTTTGCAGTCTTTTGACCATCACTTGCAGCATGCCCATAGACTTTGACAATCTACTGTTGTATGTCTGCAATGTCTGACACCTTTCTGTAGCAATACATTTTCTGCATGCTATGTGAGGCTCTTTGGTGATGTCTGGGGTAACATTTGAGGCCCCCTCCATTAAAGTTGACCACCGCTTGCCCAAGGGCATGGCTTGTACCATGCTTTGAAGAATGCTTCTCTGCTATAAAGCCTCACTTTCAGAACTGAAAATTTGAGGAGACTAATGAGCATCTGGTGAGGATTGCAGGACATCTCCGGCCTGAGCTATTGAAGGAAACTGATCTGTGTTTCACCATCTAGGGAAGAAGATATCTCTGCACCTAGGTCTGCGATCTATAAAGCACACATTTATCATGCTGCAGCTTTAACAATGCACACACATCCCTTTTCTTGAGCCTGGAGTTCAGCTTTAATAATTAACATAATTTAGGGTGAGTCTTGACTTCACTGATGTATTCTATTTTTTATATTGATAGAATCTTCCAGTCAGCTTATTTTGTGTTGTTGGATGCCTGGCCAAATGCAATTATTGCAGTCTCTTCCCTCCTCTGTGACATTGTTAAATTTGATAATGTCTTCCATTTTTTTATATAAGGATGAAGCCTATCTAAATAATTCATTCTTATCTTGTATTCAGTTCCCTGCACACATCAGCATTTTCAGCTTTATCTTTTCTGTATCCGGTCTATCTCAGGTGATTACCAGTTTGCTGTGGCATCAGAAGATAACTCAGAATTTTGGCTTAGCACCGAGGAAAGTCCATCCAGTGCCCAGCTAATAGCCTATGTTGGAAGGGTGAGTTATAAATAAATAAAAAAGGAAGAATAGAAAGTTTTTGCGCTCTGGGAAAGTTGAATCCATACCTTCTTTTCCACATTGTTGGGGTTAAGTTGTCCTTCAGTTGCAGATTGCCAAAAACATATTCCTGCTATTTAGTACTGTGAAATGCAGCACTAGAATATGATAAAACAAAGGCACTAAATGAATAAAGTGACAATAGTGAAAAATGCAAAAGTGAGGCGCACAAAATTAAGTTCTAAACGCGAACAATATTCCATAAAGTGTCTCGCCATATGGTAGCGAGAAAGGTGATAATAAATATATATATATATATATATATATATATATATATATATACACACACACACACAGTATATTAATGGTGAACAGTCCAGCATAAATATAATATAATATTTCAAGAAAAAATGACAAAAACAACTAAAATTGTCCAAATATGCTCCATGATAAATCAGTGAAAGTGACTCAGTGCTTAGGAATTGCTGTATGAATGCACTCACCAGAAGCGCATATTAAATGCGCATAATAATATATCCAACTCTTTCACAGGTAGGGAAAATTTCCGTCCGTATGGTCATAATATGGAAACAGGAAAAGGACTCCACTGGCTTCTCATACCATTACAGGAAAGACATCAAACACCACCACTGGCCTCTCACAGCATTACAGGGATAGCTCAAAAGGTCCCTAGTGTAGTAGCTTTTTCACGACATTACCCACGTGGATGCTTTTTATTCTATGTTACAATAAAAATACTACACTACTATCACTCCTGTTGTGGCTCATTTGTGTGAGCTATTCTCCCTAAGGTGGAATACATCGTTTTGGCTGGTTTTATCTATGATGGAGAGGGACCCTTTGAGCTATCCCTTTAATGCTGTAAGAGGCCAGTGGTGGTGTTTGATGTCTTCCCTGTAATAGTGTGAGAAGCCAGTGGAGTTCCTTTTCTGTTTCCATACTATGACCATAGGGACGGAAGTTTTCCCTACCTGTGGAAGAGTTGGATATATTATTATGCGCATTTAATATGCACTTCTGGTGAGTGAATTCATACATTCTGGCGCTGCATTTCACAGTTTTATATTTGAGGATATAGGGGTTCATCCTTTCATGCCAGCTGCTTTGTGTTCTACCGTGCACTCGCTTGTTCTGTTTTTTATGATATTCCTGCTGTTTAGTGCTTAGTACTGTTTAGCAGTTTTACTGCAACGGGGTGGTCCTCCTGTGCAGGATCAAATCCTTCACTTCCCATAGTAAAAGCACCACCTAGTGTACACCAAGCACATAGCTAGTCACACTGAGAACCCTTTGATCACCCTAGTTTAACCCCTTCCCAGCCAGTGTCAGTGCATATGTTTAGCACTGTCAATTAGTGTAAAACTTTCTGCTGCAATATCGCAGTCCCGCTGTAAGTCGCCATTACTAGTATTAAAAAAAAGAAAGAAAATTCCAATATATGTCCCATAGTTTGTAGAAGCTATAACTTTTGCACAAACTAATCAATATACGCTTATTGAAATTTTTTTAACAAAATATGTAGCAGAATACATTTTGGCCTATATTTACGAAGAAATTATCTATTTATTTATTTATTTGATACTTTTTTTTTATTGGGTATGTTGTACAGCAGAAAATAAAAAATGTTTTGTTTTGTTCTTTTCCAAAATTGTCGGTCTTTTTTTTTTTATAACTTAAAAACTAAAAAAACATAGAGGTGATCAAATACCACCAAAATAAAGCTCTATTTGTTGGGGGGGAAAATGACATAAAATCAATTTATGTACAGAGTTGCCTGATCGCGCAATTGTCAGTTAAATTAATGTAGTGATGTATTGCAAAAAATGGCCTGGTCAGGAAGGGGGGTCAAGTGTTTACTAAAGGCCAAGTTCACCTTTTCGGGCAGAATTTCATTTTTCACAATAAATAGAAGCCTTTTGTAATGTTTCTGCCTAAACCATCCCAATGTGCTTATTCTCCACTTTAACCTAGTCAATGGCAGCTTTGAAAATGCATCTCTCTGTTCAAAATTTTAAGAAATGTATCTTAGCCCATTACTTCCTGTAGCATCATGTGACCATCCTGGAAACGTCATATCACATTCAGACTGTATCCATGAATAGGGTGTGCTTATTTTATCAGGACCACTCCTCCCTCACTACTGAACCACCTCTCTTTTTTTTTTTTTCTTTTATTTCACCCACTTTCCTACTTCTTTCTTCAAGGTGGCCATACTCTGTACAATCTCCTTTAGATCTACCATTAGCTATGCAGTGCAAGGGCTCAGGCCTGTCTGATTTGATACAGATTGAATAGATTGTTCAGGTGGGTCCTCCTATTCCATAGTTTTGGTATATCTAAAGGAAATAGTACAATACGATTGCATAGTATATTTATTTATTTATTTATTTATTTATCGTGTTTATATAGCGCCAAAGGGTTTGCTCAGCGCTGTACAATGGGGGGGGACAATACATGAAACAGAACAGTAACATCAAACAGTACACAAGGGGTTAGAGGGCCCTACTCTTTCGAGCTTACAATCTAGGAGGGGAGGGGGTAGAGGCACCGGAGGAAGCGGCTGTGGGGGATGGAGTGGTAGGAGGAGGGAAGGGCAGCGGCTGTTAGGTGAGGTGGGGTAGGCTTCTTTCCCTGAAGAGGTACCTGAAGGTGAGGAGGGACGGTGACAGTCTGATGGATTTGGGGTAGTGAGTTCCAGAGGATGGGGGAGGACCTGGAGAAGTCTTGCAGTCGTGCGTGGGAGGAGGAGACCAGGGAGCAAGATAGAAGCAGGTCCTGTGAAGAGCGAAGGGTACGGGTAGGGTGGTACCTGGGGATCAGATCGGTGAGGTAGTTAGGGGCAGTGTTGTGAATGGCCTTATAGGTCAGGGTGAGCAATTTGAATTTAATGCGTTGGGCAATGGGGAGCCAGTGGAGGGAGAGGCAGAGGGGGTGGCAGAGGTGGAGCGGCTGGTGAGGTGGATGAGTCTGGCCGCTGAGTTCAGGATGGTCTGAAGCGGGGAGATGAGCTGCACTGGGGTAGGCCGGTGAGGAGGGAGTTGCAGTAGTCCAGGCGTGAGATAATCAGGAGAGTGTACTAGTAGTTTAGTGGTGTCTGGGTAAGGAAGGAACGTATCCTGGCGATGTTCCGGAGGTGGAGCCTGCATGTGTTTGTGAGAGATTTGATATGATATTTGAAAGGAAAGGTTTGAGTCCAGAATGACGCCAAGGACCTTGGCTTGCTGGCTGGGCGGGATTGATGGTTTGTTGTTGGTAAGTGATGGAAAGGATTGCGCGGGCTGGGGGGAAGATGAGAAGCTCGGTTTTGGAGAGGTTTTTGAGGAAATTGAGCGACATCCAGTCAGAGATGTCGTTTAGGAGGTAGTGATGCGGGCGGAGAATGAGGGGGTGAGGTGAGGGGTGGATAGGTAGATTTGAGTATCATCAGCATAGAGGTGGTAATTGAAGCCGTGGGAGTGTATGAGTTTGCCAAGGGAGGAGGTGTAGATGGAGAAGAGAAGGGGTCCAAGGACAGAGCCCTGGGGGACCCCAACAGAGAGGGGAGAGAAGGGGAGGTGGCACCATTGTAGGTGACACTGAAGGAGCGTTGGGATAGATAGGACGAGAACCCAGGAGAGAGCGGTGTCTCTGATGTCAAGGGAGAGTAGTTTATTAAGGAGGAGGGGGGTGGTCGACTGTGTCAAAGGCCGCAGAGAGGTCTAGGAGGAGGAGGACAGAGTAGTCGCCTTTGGCTTTGGCGGTTAGTAGATCGTTGGTGATTTTGAGGAGGGCAGTTTCGGTGGAGTGTAGGGGACGGAAGCCGGACTGTAGTGGGTCAAGGAGGTTGTTGTCATCTAGGTGGGCGCTTAGGCGATCGAAGACCAAGCGCTCAAGGAGCTTGGAAGTGAGTGGCAGCAGGGAAATTGGTCTGAGGTTGTTTGAGGTCAGTGGGGTCCAGAGAGGGCTTTTTGAGTATGGGGGTGATGTGCGCATGTTTTAGGGGGGGGAGGGAATACGCCAGTAGAGAGGGAGAGATTAAAGATGTGGGTAAGGGAGCGGATGAGGGAAGAGGGGGTGACCGGAGGAGTTGAGAGGGGATAGGGTCCAGGGGGCAGGTAGTGAGACGGGCTTCTGAGAAGACTCTGCTGACTTCCTCAGTGGTAGTAGGGCTGAAGGAGTGCAGTGATGGGGGGGGTTACGGTAGGCAGGGCCTTGGGTGTGGTGGGGGGCAGTGCCGTTGCGAGGTCAGAGGAGGGGAGAGATGAGGGGGTGATAGAAGGGGGGAGGCTAGATGGGGAGGTAGATTGCAAGTTGACTATGTCCTTGCGGATAGCGTCAATCTTGCTGTGGAGGTGAGTGGCAATCTCGTGGGCGGTAAGTGAGGTACTGAGTGGAGGAAGGGGGGGAGAGAGCAGGGAGTTGAAGCTGGAGAAGAGTCGGCGAGGGCAGGTGGAGAGGGTGTTAATCAGGTTAACAAAGTAGGCCTGCTTGGCGGCGTGGAGGGAGAGAGGTGTAGGTGAGGAAGGCAGATTTGTAGAGGGAGAATGCATGAGGGGACCTGGTTTTGCGCCATAGTCCTCTCCAGCGCACGACTGCGGCGTTTGAGGCGTTTAGTGTGGTCGTTCTGCCAGGTTGGAGTGGTCTGGGTTTGATGTTGCGTGTGGTTAGGGGTGCCAGAGAGTCTAGTGTAGCTGATAGTGAGTCGTTGTACGTGGAGGTGGCTAGGTCAGGACATGACAGTGGAAGGATGCTGTCGTGTAGGCGGTCGGCAGCCGAGTGGAGGGGGGGCCGGGTGCAGGTTGCGGAGGTTGCGGCTGGTGATGGTTTGGCGCACTGGGGGGGGGGAGTTGGGGGAAGGGGAGGTGGAGAACGTGAGGGAGGTGGTGGTCGGAGAGAGGGAAGGGTGTGTTAGAGAACTGGTTGAGGGTACAGAGGTGGGAGAAGACGAGGTATATGGCTAGTTTTATACAAGTACATGGGAGAGGAGTGAGTGGAGAGTG